GAAATACGATTCTCGTATCGCATTTTTGAACTTGTCAAAAATGATCAATCACAACAATTGCAGAGTCGTATATCACTACTCGGTGACTGTTGATTCCAAATACAATATTGTAGATACATGTGCATCTTGCATCTGTTAGAAACACAAGAAAATCGTTTGAGAATTAAACAACGTTATTAGAAGAAAAAATTGGATAATTAACAATCATATTTGCCATTTACCATTTTGCCTTTACAAACTTACAATATTTTCGGTACTTTAATGCACACTCACTCAAGCAAAAATCATCTGCCCCAACAGGCTTAATATGAACGAATACCTCTTTCCTTGAGTCAATCGTTTATTCTCAGCATGTCATTTTCCCACTGATCATGAATTCTGAGGTTTCTGTTGTGTTACAGTAACCGCAAACCAGAATAAGAATATCGCCTGACACAGTTAGTCAACGGTGCCAGTGACAGTAGTACTTTGTTTTGATGTGGTGCTTGAGCTGAAGTTCTAGATGAAACTCAATAATGAAGTTCAATTTCTCAATTATTGATGTAGTATACCATACATATCATAGTTTTTATCTCATTTCCTATTATCTCTTTGAGCATTAATAAGGTTCAACGTTGATACACTGACGGTTTCATTGATGATGTTCCCATCGTTAATGGAAGAAGATTCGCTTTGTGCAAAATAGTTGATATGTTTTCTAAAAATTTGCAAAATTTTTAGTATTATTTTTTAGTACTATTGCATCACATTAAAACATCAAATTAAACATATAAAACTTTTGGTTTTGTTTATATGTAAAAAATACTATAACTTTCGTACATATAAATAATTCAATCCTAACCCGCCTGATACATGCGTTCACTGAATGAACTTCTGCCGTAAACATATCTGAAGATTTATTTCACTGATACACACATGTCACGTATGTCAGGCAAATAGAAGAGGGTTAATTGTGTAGGATTTCGAATATGGTTCATTATTGTTCCTTTTGTATTTTCACTTTGACCCAGTTTCGATTAAAAACTAATAAATGAGTGAATCAAAAAACTGTACTTCACTTTCGAATCCAATTACGTCAATTTCTGGAGAGATCATTTTTGTTTACAGCATTAAAAATTAATGTTTGTCTAACTCTACAACGTAGATATACATGTCGTTCACCAACATCTCACGCACATATGATTAAATATGCTTTCCTTTTCATGTGAGCGGCATATGACTTGCAGTCATCCATTGTACTTAATACGCAGTTTGCTGTGATATCAAGAGTCGTTTCAAGTTTTCTTATCCCAACATCTTTGTTTTCAGCTAATTGTTTTGGAAAATCTTTGTGAGACAGAATTTATTCAATTTCTTCCAGCCATTGCTGGATACAAATCTTACATTGCATATGAAATATTCCATGTCCATGGCAATGGCAAGTTCAATTGCCGTAGAAATTTGATATTAAAGAAATCACTGATCATTGAGTATTTAATAGCGTGTTTTAACTAGCTACGTACGTTTATAATATTTTTACTATAGCAAAATTGTATCACCGTGAGAGTTATGATACAAAAGACACGCGATGTCAGGTAGGTAGATGCACCAAGAGCGGAAAGTTTTCTTGATGCTAATGATCAAGCGTGGTTATTTTTATAGACGTAAATTACGATTCATTGTACCCACTTTTAATAATAATAAAATTAAAATAATAATAATAAAAATAAATAATAAAAATAATAATAATAATAATAATAATAATAATAATAATAATAATGATGATGATGATGATGATGTCGGCCCCATGACGCAGAGGGTTGCGACAGCCGTCGTCTGCACCGCGTCCTGCATAGACATAGTCTTATTTGTGATTGTTAATTCACCCCTCATCATCATATCATCTCATAATACACACTTCAAGGCGTAGCTACCTTGCTGGAAAGCTCATTCTGGAAAAATTACACACGTTAATCGTGTTGCGTGGTCAAAAATAGCCTATACACCAATAGTAATAATATCCCAGCTAGCAATATCCCGATCCAGGCCGTGCCCACTGCGACCTCCACAAAGATAATATGGGTGCCTACGGATCTCTGTGAAGACGAACGGACCAAAAAACGGAAGTGGATATTTGGATTCGAACGATTCGGGCGAAAGAGTCGTCAGAGGAGAGCATACCTCTGTCAAATAACCTGGGCTCAGCTGTATCTGGCTGTCAGTACTCAGCCAAGAGTCACAGGCGAACATCCAACGGGGGCGGAGTTGCACACATGGCGAAGGTTACCTCTTGAGTGAGAAAACTCGAACAAAAAGAAAACTGGCCGTAGGAATAAAACGCAAACTAAAGGGACTTTCCCACGTCTTTTTTATCCTTATTCCGAAACAAGAGGGAACCTGGGTCTCGAGTTTGCACCCGGCACTCAGAGAAGCAGCCACAAGGAGATACTCCCATTATGATGACATTTGTTACGAACCATCGAAAGAAGCAGAATGAATCGAAAAGAGACAACCACCACCAAGCGTCCACTGCTCGAAATGTTTTAGCATCTACCCAACCGTTGATCACCAGAGCAGGACTGCCTAGATAGCGGAAACAATTGAATGTGTCCATGAACAAATTCCTACTGCGCACTTTTCACTCCGGGCTTATACTAGTACCATTTCCATGCGTAGAACAAGTGAAGAAAGCAGAAATACTGGACTTATGCAAGATAGTAAGAGAATTTCTGGAATGTACTGCTGATTGAGACACGATTGATTGAAATGTCCAGAGAGGAACATTCGTTCGTGTCTTATCTCTGTGAGATTGACCAGCAATGGTCATGTGAATTTTCCTGCACATAGTTCAGAGGGTGTAACTTTCGGAAAATAATAATATAATAATAATTATAATATAATAATAAATAATAATTAATAATGACGATTTACGTACATGGCCTTCGATTGGCTCATGGATAGCGAGCTAGTTTCGATTTCCGCCAGGAAAAAAGTAGAGCAGTAGCTTCCTATTAGAGTTACCTGAATTTTTATAGCTGTATGACGAAAGAGGCAAATATACAGCAAATGGAGAAGAATAAAATAAAAAGAAGACTCTTCAACAATGCGGGGAAAAATCTACAAATGATGCAAAGTGTAAGGCGATCTTCAAAATATCAACTAGCTCACTTGAGTTGTAGAAATGTTTGATTTTATAGTTTTTAACATATGCAAGTGATTATTTAATAGGTTTATGGTTTCACTATGCTTTTCAAATTCTCTCAGCAGCAAAAATTTCCACCTACGTTCTATGAAAGTAATAGTAATTTACATCATAAGTACACGAGACAGGCAGAACTATTTCCCCAAATGTGTGAACATTTTAGTCGCGGTTAAACAACCCTTAAGAAAGGACTAAGGCTTTTAGAGTTATATTTGCAGATCATTGTTTATGACTATAACCCTCCCCGCCAGACAGTAGAAATTCTGCCAACCCTTCCTGTGTACTAAACTCGGTGTGACCTCGCACACGCTGTTCTGCATTTATTCCTTGTTACTCGCCCGACGACGTTTTTGAACGGCCTCACGGAAAAGCGCGTAAAGCGCGCCATGTAAAATGTGCTTTAAACCTAAAAAGTGCGCCGTTTTTGTGATTAGCATGTCAGGCAGACTTTTGTATGCAAATAAGACCCTTTACTGCCACCAGAAGTTGTGAACGAGTATTACGCATGAGCCTAAAAAATTACGATTATTGCATTTTTATGTATCTTTATTTATTTTTAGTCTCTTTCTTATTCATAGAGGACGGTGACCTTACAGGACTACTGTCCAGTTTTCAACCTAAAAAAAGTATCCTTTTGGTCTTTATTCATTACTACTGTGGTAGTATCAGTTGCATGTTGACGTTCTTGCTTCACTTAGTGGTCAATATTTACAATTGACAACATTGTTGTATGTATTTAGTTATAAATCATAGTGTCATATTTTTCTCTCGCTCTATTTATTAACCACTATTATTCCACTCTATACATTCACAATAAAAATTATGTGAGGTGTTTGTAATTATTATATCGCCAAATACTACCTGAAAACTTGTGGTATAAGAATAAGCAATTTTTACTTGCACATTTTACTGCAGAAAATAACTTTTAGAAAATTTTTATCAATCGAAACTCCTGTCACTTTCAAAACTAGAACCTAGGACCTCCCGTTCAGAGGCACTGCAGTGATATCAGTTAATGCCCACAGCCACCTCATCCAGTGGGAGTTTTTCATGGATTATGTGATCAATTCCCTCCGAATACCAGACCAGTACAACTACCGGACCACGAACCACGTCATTCTCCCCGCTTACACACTCTTACACTGGCATGTACCCCACGTCGCGAGGTCTGTCTAGAGCTTAGAGCTTGCCCTGCTTGGGGTGATATTTGGAGGGGGGAAACCTCGCAAGGCGTCGTGTATGTCGGCGCTGATTCTCGCATGTCAGCAGGATAAGAATACTGCTACAGTTTGTCTATAACATTCACTACACGTCCGGGGCCAATATCCTCGGTAATTGACGCCTCCGGAATCAATAATCACTTAAGGAACAATTGCTTCTCAGAGTTCACTCGCAAGATCTGCCGGTGCTCTCAACTGAGCCCCTAATACGATTAGTGGCCGGGCTGTAAGCTTCAGGGATAGGAGGTTACAGAGTTCATGGCTGCACCTAGGCAAAGCTCTCTTGCTACAAGTTGGATCTATCCCAGAACTATGTACTAATAAGGCAATGTTGGAAAGTTTAGTAAAGTGATAGTGATGTTGAAAACCTGCTTAGTAAGGAACTTTCCATAACATCATGGCATTACGAATTTCATATTTTACATCATGACATCGTTGTCGTGTCCATATGTTTCGAAGAAAAAGTGATTTATATGTCCAAGGATATTTCCACATTCATAATTAGTTTTACGATATTTAAGTAATGGATGAATAACTTTGAGTGTTGAACGAGGAATGACAATTCTTCTTCTTTTTTATCTTCTTTTTCTTCTTTTCAGGTCATCCACAACATCCAGGATCCAACTCAGGTCCCAACCAAGAAATTCTGTGAGACATTACAAATCTAACATCATCTTCTGCATTCAGTATGTTTTTTTTATTATATCATATTCTTATCTTTTACTATTCTTAAGTGCTACATATATTTGTATTATAATTTTTCTTTCGAATCTATGTAGTCTGTGTCCCTCTTGGTAAGGTTATATTTATGTTTCCTTATTAAAGTTATTGTGTACATGTTTCTGATCCGTAAGTCTTATTAATGTTTTATAGAATTTGAGTTTTGTTGTACGAGTTAAATTACCATATTTTATTAGTGGTGCCTAATACGTTTTTATTGCAAATCTTTCATTGCAGTGTGCAATAATTCTTTGTGTTCTCTTTCTAATTTCTGATGCTTAAATGTTTAAATATTGGTTGTCATTTAATTTCATATAATTCTCATATATTAGGTTCAAAAAGGTGAAATAAATACTTTCTTCAACTGTCTCTCTATTTCTTTCTAATAGGGCTATATCGTCAGCATGTGCTAGATATTGCTTCTAATTGTACAAGACATTGCCTATAATTCTTTATGTTTTCATAACATGATGGAGAGCCATGCACAATAGAGTAGCTGATAGCAAATCGTCTTGTATAAAACCCAATGTTTTAAACTTGAATAAAACCCAACTTTGTTTGGCATTCCATATTTCCATAGCACTCTGAACAATTGATTTCATGTGATTCTGTCAAAGGTTTGTTTATAATTGACGAAGAGTATGTATGAATCCATGTTGTAATCATAACATTTTCCTATTACTTGTCTAATTGTAAATATCTGATCTGTTTTCCCTTTCTATAATCTACTACGTTTCTTTTCTGGTTATATATATATATATATATATATATATATATATATATATATATATATATATATATATATGTGTGTGTTAGACGTAAACATATTTTTATCTATATTTCAGTTCAGCGAAGATTTTTCACGTCAAGCACTAACATAATGAACAATATGCTAGAACTTAGGATTGCAAATATTTAGAAAACTACTTACCATTATTGTACTTACGGAAAAATATCAAAAGTTGTCTCTGGGTAGTAAATTGCAACGATGAGCCGACTACAGAATGCACAGTTTTATTCACAAAAGTATAAAAACAAAAGGATTTATCTGGCGGAAAGTGTCTTGAAATTTGTATCATCTGTATCATATTATTTTATTTTGTTTGTATTAATGACTACGAAGAGGTGTAATTTGAATGTAATACATTGAATGCACGCCGTTGTCATAAGAGATTACACGAATTGCAGTGTGCAATTCCAGTAATTCAGTTATATTAATCGCGCAAATATTTATACAGCGGAGTTGTTAGCAACACTAACATACGTTAACTTTTTAGGTGTTGATGAGCTCATATTTCTTTTTCTCTTTGTGTATTGGAAGGTAGTGGTGATTGTGGTTTGAAGCTAGTGTTGAATTTGTATTCGATGCCAGCCCTTACATGCCTGCCATATCACGGGTAGGGTCCCGATTAGGTGGCTCAGGTCACTGCAGTGTCTCCGACCAGAAGTTCCTACGGGTCATGTCTCCTAGAGCTTGACAGCTAGGACGAATTCAGTCGCTGTTAGGAGAATTCTAGCGGCCGGCTTCTCCGACCGGTAGTTTTCCGTGGTTTCTCCGATCAACACCAGGAGAATACCGGAGCATTTTCGCTAACGACGCGCCACGGACCGTGCGCAATCATGCCTTGCTGTTGCTTATCCAATGCTCACCCCTGATACACACACACACACACTTGTATTCACTACACTACCACACAGGTCAGGAAACCATTCGGGAGCTTAGAGCTTGTCCCGGCTGGGACGGTGCCCCGATGATGGGAGATACCTGCCCGGAGAAAATGTCACTCACTGACGTGTAGTTTGTCTCCATATCTCACATCACACGAAGAGAAATCACCTTCAACTCCCAATAGAAACATGCATTACAGTTAAGGGACTAACGACCTTAGCAGTTGACGCGCCGGAAACACGAAATAATCAAACCAAATCAATTACGGGTAGGTCTTCAGCTTCTCTAGCAACACCTATTGTAGTACCGTCTAACGTTTAGCGTATCGGACTGTTGTACCAAAGTTGGCGGGTTCAAACCCGATCGAAGCCATGGGTTTTTAAGGGCGAAAAAGTCCTACGTACGCCTTCCTTCGGAGGGGAAGTAAAGCCGGCTGTCCCATATTAGTAGATTTACTTTCATGTAAAAGATCCTCAAGGCTAAATGACGCCACTGAGCTACATTCAAATCGCCTGTTTCTCGCCCAAGAAATACCTCCTTTCTCTGCTAGTTGGTGAAAGTGGCGTAGCGAAATTTGCGTGGTCAGACGGATGAGCAGGCCTCACTTGAGCTTGAGTCTCGTCACGTAAAATAAGGCATTAATTCAATTCAATTCACTTCACCGTCCCGAGTATTCCAATTTTCGATTTTGATGGAGAGTTTCGAAGGCCTAGTGACACCTCTGGGGCTGCCCTGCGAGTGAAGGTGGCCACTCCCTCACACTGGCAGTACATTCGCGCTGACGATGTGTTGCGGTCAGGCAACGGTGACGGTCCAGTAACGAGGACGGTGGCGGAGGCCGAGGAGACTCGAGGTGCGGATGGAGCTCGAGGAGAGGGGAGGGGGGCTGGGAAATTGGGTAACGTGGAGTGGATTTGCGATGGCGTGGTAGGGACGTGGATGGCATTGTGTTGACGGCTGCGGCGTGTGGTGTCTCCTTGGGGTAAGCGGTGGTGGATTAGATGAGTGGCGAATTCTGCGAGCGGCGAATTGGGCGAGTGACGAATTGGGCGAGAGACGAATTGGGCGCGTGACGAATTGGGCGGTGACGAATTCTCGGTTCAAACAATGATAATAATTTTTAATAGTAAGTAATAACTTACTGTCCTAACTTTGGCTGATAAAACAATGTACCAAATAATGTTCTATCTCTACTAGGAATCACCAATGGGCATAAGATAACTGGTGTATTAGAATTTTTGTTGCTCCTCATTGTATCTAATATTGAATAAAGGTACTGTACGAGTTATATATTTACGTTTTACCGTATGAAAACTTACCCGATGCAGGGTATGTTTACTTCTTTTCTTCTTATGTTACATTCCGTTCTACGTATTATTTTTACTTGCCTTCTGACGTGTTGCTCATCTCAAGAGATGTGAAGACTTAGACTTCCATGACCAGAGTCAGCCAAATGATCTTGGCTGTCCGGGTGACTCCAAGGCTGAAATGCCAACGTTTTGACCACTTTATCGTGGTCTTCAGCAGACCAGCTCTGAGAAAGACCACGACAAGATGGTCGAAACGTCGGCATCACAGATTTCGACGCGGCGTCACCCGGATATCCTAGATCAATTTCACAAGAGAAACCAGTCAATTCAGTGAATTGACGTGCTAGAACGATCTTTAACCCCTTGATTCGATAATGTTCAGAAACCATATTAAATAGCAACAAAATGAACCATATTTACTAGGCTGTCGGGGTGACGCCGCGTCCATGGCGAAGGTGCCGACGTTTCGGTCGCCATTTTGCGACCTTCCTCAGGGCGTAATGCGCCCGTAATGGCATTACGCCCTGAGGAAGGTCGCCATGGACGCGGCGTCACCCGGACAGCCTAGTAAATACTGACTCTGGCCACGGAAGCCTACGCTCTCCCTAAAATGAACCATAGTTCGAAAACCAGAACCGTCCGTCACCCACTCAGCCGCTAATCCGTATCTGCCACCCGCCGCGCCGTATGAATCCACCTCATAACCTCCTCTCCACTTTCTTGCGGAGAGTGCAGTCCATCGCGGGTGTTCATAACGCGGCCGGTGCAATTGGGCTCCGGGGGCGCCATATCGCCGGCGGCGGCGCGGGGGCGTGACGGAGGGGCGTGGCGTCGTTAAAACGCAACCCGTGTCCAAGGAGGCCCCTAAACGCGCGCTCAACGACGCGGGGGTGACGCGTGCAATACCGACGCGCGGATTACTGCGTTAATTCCGGAGCAACCCTCTCTCGGAGGCGCGGCCGTGTATGCGCCGGGGGGGGGGGTGGCGGGTGGACGGGATATTGCGGAGGGAAGATGCGCCTGGCCGTTAACGCCGCCCCGGTGATGCTGCCCGCCCCGTCACTGCCGCTGCGGGGTCCGGTCCGTGCCGCCCCCGATGTCCCTCACGGCCTCGATGCGATCCCCTGCGCCTTCACTGTTTTTGGCGTGCTTTTTGTCCGTTTATGCACGCAGTATTTGTCGACTACTCGCTCTGCTTGATCCCGCCGTGTAGCCTTGTCGCGTGATTTCTCGTTGACAGTTCTCGCGGCCTAGGTAGTTTCGTATTTTCCATCGTTGACGCTTTGCGATGGACATCTAGATCTTGCCTTCTTTTGCGACAGTGTGTTTGTACTGTCGTCTCTCTTCTCATTTCTCGCCGTTTACGTCTAAACCGGGCTTCATCATTTGTAATTTTCCGTATGCTCATTTACCAGTCTTTTACTGGGGTTGATGTTTTATTATTGTATCCAAAGCGCATTCTTTGTTGTCAAGTATAAAACTTCACTCTCAGACTGTTTTTTTCCTTTTGTGCACTACGGCATTCGACAACATTCGTTATGTCATTCCCTTGGTATCTATTTTGAGAATTATTACATCAACATAATGTCGGTATCCCAGTAAGCCTTTTCCTAGATTCATTCACCAACGGAGGTTTTAGTGAATCTAGTATCAGATATCTAGTTCTATTAACTATCCTTTCATTTCATGATTCTTCTATTTAAACTGCCGCATATGTTCCATAGGAGTAATACGGAACGATAAATAGAACCTATATTTATAGGGTGATGAACTACGTTTATGACTCAGCCATCGCTAGAATTTCTGGAATTACTTTGGCAATCAGCGTGTTGAATAAAAATTTTAGAAGACGCAAAAAGGTAAAAGAAATAACGGTAGTATCAGCGAGAAAATAAACTTGTTCCCGTACTCGACTTCTTAAACTTAATATATTTGGTTTTTTAGGAATGAATAGTTTAGTTTTTCCCACCAATAGTTTCTCTGTACTAATTTTGGAAGCTCACGGCGTTTTTCAACATTCCCACCTCAATTTCGCTCTAGTAGATTCGTTTTCGCCACCAATACGTTTTATTTATTCTCCATTTTCTCTCTCGTACACCTTCCGTCTCCGGCAGGCCGCAAACGCCCTCGCAGTGAGTGCTGGCCGCGCCCCTCCCGTCTTTCGCCTTGGGCGCGCCCGTTCGGAGCCTGTCGCCGGGTCCCCTTCCCTCCCCTTCCCGCCCGCTGCACCCACAACAGTCGCGCCCCATAAAACGTGAAAGCGCTCACGCACCGGCCGGGTTACGGCCCGCGCGTCCGTTGCACTCAGGCAGCAGCCGAGCGGCGCCGGCGCCAGCGGCCGGGGAGCGGAATGAGGTGGGGCGGGGGCGGCGGGAATAGGTGGGGGCGAGGCATGGGCCGGGAGGAGCGGGAGTAGGT